TTTTTTTACTTCTTTTATTATAAATCATTTCTCAAATATTTCGTTTCTAATACGTTATTAAAACTTGGCAATAATACATTTCCATTTATATGAATACTTTCACAAGAAAGCACGTATTTGACACCATTAACGTCAACGTTTTGTTTTATTATGCGATCGATCTATTTCCTTGTAAAAATATACAACATTAAATTTATAGGATCGAATTGTTTCTTTCTTTTTCCTTTCAGATTTTTTTTTATTTCTGTGCGGTCATAAATAAAAACCTTCATCTTTCCATTAATAGGAAGAGTACAAAAGTTTGTAATCTTAACAAGAGATTTCATATGATTCCTAGATAAACGTTTTTCTCTTTCCCTCCATGCGTTTATAACATATGTATATTCGAACGATTGGCATTCGACCTTCTTTTTTTTTTTTATTTTTATTTTTTATACCAATATGACCAGTTCATCGGTGAACAAGAGATAAATTTCGCCGACAATTTTTTAAAACTCTTCAGAAGCTTGATTCTACGTCAACAGCTGATAAATATATATATATTTATTCATATTCATTCGTGAATATTTTATTAAAAAAAAAAAAAAAAAAAAAAAAATTTCTCAAGATATCGATGTAGACAATTTTTTTGCCGATGCCAAGATGATCTTTAACAACAACAACAACAATAGTAATAATAATAATAATAGTAATAATGATAATAGAGGAGAAGAATCAAGCTTCAAGAGAGGAAGGATATCGATACGATCTCTCTCCTTATTAAAACGCGAATCGACAGACGCTTATTCTACGGCGAACACCAAAGCTTTGAACACAATCGGGGCAATAGAGAGACAGAGTCGGACGATAAGGAAAATACGGTAAATGGGGATCATTTCAATTGCGAAATCCCAATAAGAAATGCCTCGTAATCAACTGTTTACAACTTACAACAAACGATCACACTCGTTCACGCATACAATAAACACTCTCCTCCTCATTGACACATCGCGTGCGGGGAAACATGCTCCTCGTGCCCCGAATGAGGATCGATCATTAATTCGATATAACCTCTCATCTCGTGTGCGCGTTTTAATTTTTGTCCGTTTCTTCTCTCTGCTTCTCTCTTCGCGTTCCTCGGTCCATTTTTTTCATCGCGCTCCGTTTTCTTCTTTTCGTTTGCTCTTTCTTTTCTTTTTTTTTTTTTTTTCCCATTCATAAAGCCATCGACGAGTCAACGACTTTCAAGGAGTCTATCATCCGCAATCCGGTTGCGGATGGAATTAATATATATATGTGTGTATATATATATATATATACACACACATATATATATTAATAATTAATACATGTACACAACAATACGGGTAAAAGAGCCCCCTTTCCTTATTAATAATATATTATCAATAATTAATATTCTTATATAAACCCCCGATTATTAAACTATTCCGATAAACATAATCGCCACCCCGTTGATACAGTTTTTATATTATATGAAATAATTTAAAGCGTTAGCGGGAAAAATCGAACGTTATGCGCGACAGGTCTCTCCCCTCTTCTCTCGTCGACGACTCTATACGTGAACATGAACACAGACTCCACGGCGTATTACGACCGGTATACAGTTTGTTTATTCCTTTTCTTTTTTTTTCCCCTTCGTTTCCCCCTCCCCTCCCCCCTTTTTTCTTTTTCTCTTCTTTCGCGAATCGGCCACACTGGACCCGACAGGCGGAGTCGCGCGCAAAACTCACTAATATAACTCGAGTCGAAATCGTTCGGCGTGTTTTGTATATAATATATTGTTGTGTAACAAAGTCACTGTTGTGTATTATCGACCAATGTCAATTGTGCCGGCAACAATTAGCGTTAATTATACTGTTGATTGATCGTGCGATTTGGTATCTCGACGATTGTTTAAGAGCGTTTACCAAAACCAGAACGTCCTAAGCGAGCTTTTTCTCCGTGTTGTTATTGGCGACGTAGCCGTTGTTTGTTCCGTTGCTGTAACAGCTGTTGTACTCCTTATTGTAGATCGTCGTGTACGACGAGACACCGTTTTGCCGTGGCGCCGACGAATCATCGAGCACAGGCATGCAAAGACCGGTCGAGCCATTTTGCACACCGTTCCTTGCCGATTTTTCCCTTTTGTCCACGTACTTCGCTTTGTAAAAGTCCGAAAAAAGACCTAAAAAGAGCACGCCGTGTAAACCGATCCAAATCATAAAGCTACGAGGATAATCGCAGTCTATAAAAAGAAGTTGGAACTGGTGGCACATGATTAACACGAATTGCACCTGAAAAAATTGACACCATTTTACACGATTCGATAAATAAATTATTGGATATTAAACTTCATTATTGGATTCTCACCACTTTTGTCTAAAGCTTTTCTCTTTTCTCTTTTTACCGCTTGACGGACGGAAAAGAGACAAAATATTGCTATATTGGCAAATAATTTAATAGAATAATTTTTTTTTTTAATATATATTCAATGGAGAGACAATAAAGAAATTACCTATATAGATCAGGTAATTTTTGTAATCAATATCTTCTTCTCGAAAACTTGAAAAAATTATTATACTTCGTTTACATTTGGAAAAAGAAAAAAGAAAAAAGAAGAAAGTTTGAGGAAAAAGTGGTGAGAATTAATCGAATAAACTCACCATTTGCATAGTAGTCAGGTACTTTTTCCACCATATGTACTTCTGGTATTCAGGGCCCATTGCAGCCACCATATAGTAGAAATACATTACAATGTGAACAAATGTGTTTAAAAGGGCGAAGAAAGTGCTATGACCGCCTGGTGCGAACTTCAAGCCCATCCAAACTGAAAATGGCATTATGCCATGGTGGACTACGTGAAGCGTTGACACGTGCTGATTCTTTTTCCTCAGAATGAAAAAGAGCTGAAAAAAAGATAATTGTTAATATCCTGTCGTAATTAAAAAAAAAAAAAAGGAGGGGATTGATTGACGCGTTTATTTTAGAATAATAGTTGTTTTAATTTAAATGACGAAATTTAATTTTATTAGTCGATACCAAGTTGACACTTGATTCATTAATCTTCGCGAACGGACGTAAATTGTTGTTCGGTCGTTATATTATCGAAAAGAGAAAAAATACAAAACTTGATAAAGTCGATTTCGATCTACGCCAAAACTTTAAGCGATTTGCAAAAAAAAATTAACGAGCAAACGTCAAAACTCAACATCTTGTAATGTTTTACGATGTTTAACGCGATTTTGAACGCGCAATTAATGCCCGTTATAACTGTCGATTTCATTATCGCACAAAAATGGAACAAGTATTCCATCCTGTATCGAGTAGTAACAGATTAATGCCCGTGTTACCAGTAGTACAAACGTTCGTTCGACCAGTATGCATATGTGGCTTCTCGCAACTGTAATTATGTGTATTTTTTTATTTGCAATAAAAAAATCTTACAATATTGGTAAGTGTAAAGTAATAATATTTTCGAGCTCAATAATTTTAAACAGAATGATTTCTAACTTATGACGAGATAAAATTATCTTTATAAACTTCTTTTTTCGATGCTAACTTTGATCAATATAAAAATTCAACAATTACTTTTCACTGCTTCCCTTGCATAAAAATAAGTATCGATATATTTACAATTATTCATATATTCATAATTTATTTCGTTGCTTTCGAATTGTAAGAATATCGTTCAATTTCATTCCCACCACGAACAACCTGTTTAAACATTATTCTATTTATATATATATATATATTTTATAACCGCTTATTCTCGAATAATATTTTACAGATTTTAAAAATTGGCCGTTTTCCTCCTCCTCCTAATTCTCACACCACGATGAAAAAATATTTGGAAGAATGAAAAAGGAATCGCTATGATAAACTTTGGATACACATATATGTATATACACACACGCACACACACACACACATATATATATACACACACATACACACACACAATACTTACGGTATCGAAGAACTCGGTGAATTTGCTGATGTAATACCACCAACATGTGTTGGCCATTCGTAGCGCCATAGCGTTGTTGGAATAGTCGACCGGTTGGCACCGAAAACTGTATCCTTTCGCCCAGCCACTCATCAAGTACTAAAACAAGAAAATGGTGGAAAGTGAGGACGATGAAAGGGGGCGCATTCATCGGCACTGGGACGGCTACGAGTTATACAGTTTCGACTGTCGACAATCGGCGTATAGAGCGCGATCGCCCGCTTTTCACTCTGCTTCTCCGCTCGCTTTGTTCGATCAAGAAGCCGGCCGAACGGGCGGAGAGACGGGGGCAACAAAAGCGTCCTCTCTCGGTTCCAGTTTCTCTGTCTCTGTCTCGCTTGCTCGCTCGCTCTCAAGTACTTATCTCCTCGCTGCTACTATTTCAAATTCTAAAAAGCCCGCTCGCTCCTTCGAGAGAATTACGGACAATAGTTTGTTTTTTCATCATTTTTTTGCAATTTCTTCGGAAAAAGAAAGAAGGAGAAATAAATAAGGGGAGAGAAAGAATAAAAGAATCGGGCCAAACGTGGCGAATGAAGCATTCGATTCGCGGGTGACGACGAAATGATTCCGTACGTTCACGTGATTTTCTTCGATCGTTTTATGCCGTTACACACACGATTCGTATCGATTACATTGTATTCCTGTGTATTCTACAGAAGCAGAATCCCTCCCCTCCGCCCAATATCGCGGCTCTTAAATAATTAAGAGGTTCTTCTCGTTCGAAGTTTTTCTTCTCGAGGTAGTTATCACACGCATATTAATTATTTTCATTTGATTAATTTTTTAACTTAACTTACTTGATCATTTTATTCTTGGTACTGGAGGACTTGTACGACCTTTTTCTTTTTTTTCTTCCACTTCCATTCGCATATTTTTCTCGATTAAATTGTAAAAGGACGAGAACTGTGTTATAATTGACGATTAAATAATACGTGCTCAAAATCGTATATGTTACGTATCGCGGAAGCGAAATCTCCACGAGGCCGAGGTAATTGGTTAAATAGAGATGATTTTACTGAAATCATGCATGAAATAATTATTACGAATATATACAATGGCCTTCTCTCTGGTATCGTAGTCGAAACGAGCGATCTACGTTACAATCATTTTAATATATTCGCTATCGTGCATTACAAACGGAGACTATTCGGCTATAAGTATTCAAAAGGAAATGGTTTCTCGTGGTAAGATAGGATAAAAGTTTTTGGGCGTTTTTAAATTATCGAGAAAATTCGAAGAGGAGATATCCCTAGATATAGAGCAAAATTCCCTATACGAATCATTGTAAAGTTATATTTAATAAAGGAAAAGAGAAAAGGCATCGATACGTTATATATATTTACATATATGTAAATAAATATATACAAATATATGTATATATATATATATATATAAAAGTCGTCGATATTTTCTTAAATAAAACCATAATTTTTTTGGTATATATTATAGGATTATTACATTGAAAAATACATGTAATTCTCGAAATTCAGAATAGAAAGTTCTGTCATTTTTTTTTTTTTTTTCGTAATAACGAAATAATTGGAGAGAATTGCATTAATTGGAAATGGATTACTTTGTACATATCTGAATACAAAAGTTTGTATTTAACAAAAACAAAATGCTTCTGTATAATACAAGTATGAGTATGAGCACAGCAATTGCCATGAGTAATTTCATTTTATTACATTTTTATCTTTTTCTCTCAATAATGTTTTTCTATAATTGAGTTGTAAAATATATTTACAAGTAAGTAAATATACCAACAATTCTTTTCAATTCAAAAGCAAATTTAAATATAACGTTAATTTATATTCCCAATTTGATTTCTTTGTTTAATGATATTGATTTTACATTCATTTATTCGTCTATTGATATTTCTCGATCGAATAAGCTGTCTAATCTCTTTAATCGATAACATGGAACACTCGTTACATAAACGAGTAGGATAGAATCAATTTCACGTCAATAAAACATTACAATATAGCTCCTTGGAGGAGAGACGTGGTCGTATTACCATGTCTAATGGATGAAGGTTAAATTCAACTAGTTATCTCATAGAGTTGAGAATCGGTGAATGTGTTGACATTCTTTTTTTCAGATTTTTCAGATAAATACAATTATTAGGGGGATAAGATAATTGATAATATCGCTCGTTAGAAAAGTGATAGACAACTTTTCTAGGGAAAAATGTTGTTTAAATTCCTTTTTTTTTTTTTTCCTTTTTCATTCACTAATGTATTTTCAATATTTATTAAAATATTATTATAAATATATATATATTCGTTATTCGCCTTAATCTAATATTTTCATTAGAAATAACAAGATTAGCAAGATTAAAATTATATATATTATAATCTTTTTTTGTTTATTCTTTAATATTCTTAATAATAAATTATATTTAATTCAATTTCACGTATGAAATTGATATGCAATTGTGTAGTCGTTAAACTCTGAATATTTATATCGAGTCATTCCGTATACAACAACCTGATAGTATGACGGGGATAGTAATTTAAAAAATTTCAAAATAATTGTAAAAATGAAAAAGTTGTCTCGCTGATTATTATTCTATCGAGAAACTTGATTTATTATTTTATTTTTATATAAAAAAAATTAAGAAACAAACTGAGGAAAAAAGCAACAGTTTTTTCACGTTCCATCTTAATTAATTAGAATTAAATTAATAATTCATGAACAATTTGTCAATAAAAAATACAAATTAAAACGTTTTTTTTTTTTTTTTTTTAATATTTAAAAAGATGAGAGATATATTGCACATTATGCAAATCTCGAATTTTTTTTTTTTTATTTCTTTTTTGATAGTTTTGAAAAAATAATGTTTTTTTACTAGCTTTTTCTTTTATCAAAACTGCTATATAATACCACGTAGACAAATTAAATTTATTTTTAATCAGATATAAAATGACATTATGCGATTTTTTTTTAATCTATCCAACCATTCCAATTTCATCTCTCATTAACATTATTCATCGTGGATAAAAGATAAAAAAAAAAAAAAAAGAACAACGATTATGACAATTAAATATGATTGCTTATTAAAAATATTTTCATCTTTGTACTATGAATTAATGTTATTATTAAAATTAATTCTTTCAAATGTATTATTATTCAGATTACAATATAATTTTAAGGTAAAACAATATAATAAAAAATATAAAAAAAATCTAACAGCGATTATTCCACTTTTAACCCCTTTCAATATTTTGAAGAATTTAATTCGAAGAAATTTTTTTAAATTAAATTTTATTATTTTGTTCAAAAAAAAAAAATGAAATGATAAAAGATGATGAGCAAGTTATTATTATTACATGTAATTTGCCTTACCTTTGACAAGTTAGACTTTTTCATCATTTGCGCGCGCGCAAGAAAAAAAAAAAGAAAAAAAAGAATGGCTAATCTGACTTGTTCTAACTAATATTATAGTCAAGATGTTAATCTCTCTACTTACTCTAGAACAACGCAGATACATCTAATCTAATATTCATTTTTCAATTTATGAATATTAAAAAATTGTAAACACATCGTAAATAATAATCGTGATATTTTTGAATTTATAAAACGCGAGGCTCGATTCTTGGAAGAAATTTTCAATTATTAAAATTTTATGCACGATTAACTATTAATAATTGTATCGACTGTATTTGCAATTCATCTATTCGATTTCTATCGTTATAACAATAATATAATAGCGAAAGAATCGTAAAAAAAAAAAAAAATACGATCCTGAAAACAAAGGATTATTTCGAAGGATCAGTTTTCGACTCGATTATTAAAATATTTTTAATTTTTGTGAATGAACGAGAGAAGAATAAATAAAAAAAATTCTCAGGTGAACATTTCTTTTCTTACAATCCATGAATCAAAAATCCCGCCAATTTGCATCATCTTATTAATTCGTATTAATAAAACGAAAGAAATTTTGCCCCGAGTTAAAAATAACTTGACGATTATTGTTTTTTATTAATACTATTTATTATTCAAACAATTATTTATTAGTGACGATGTTTATTTTTCAGAAATTAAATAAATGTTAATGTTAATTTAATCTTCTTTCTATCGTCGTTTTTTATTATCAAAATACGCGAATACATCGTGAACGAATCTCGAAGACTTTGCATAATTATGCAAAAATATTGCGAACAAGACGGGGCGAAATATGCATACTAATTAAAATGTGACTCACGATTGTCACTGGTTTCGTGAACTTCAGAATGTTTTACCGACGAATTCAGTCGCGAGTTGGATAATCGCGTGACGCACGGCATCCGATTCGTATGTAACTTGATTGGTATCATCGACTCTGGAACACGGAATTCCATTAAATTCTTGATTGTGTTAAAGCAGAGTTAGGAAAGCTTGGGTGTAGTTTAAAGTACGGGTAACGAGAGCACAACGCGTGTATGGCCGAGGTAGTTGTGTGTCAAGGCCATGCGGTGTGATCTCGCGTTAAATACGATACGCGCGACAGAATAATTTTTCAGCGCACAGTGTTACACGCCGATTAGAATTTTCAGAGAGAGTTCGTTTCGTCCGTTTGCTTAGGAAAAAAAAAAAAAAAAAGATAAATTTCATTTTAATGAGAAATTAATTAATTTTTGTTTTTTTTTCTCGTATCTTTTGATAATGAATTCGACGATAAAAAGTTCCGAATTTTTTCAAAACTTCGTCAGTCAGTTTTAATTGACGCCACGTTGATTTTGTTATTCACGTCAATCACATCGTCTTTTAACGAGATTAAGGCTAAGAAAGAAAAATTAAATTATCGATTTGACAATGAAGTATTCACATTGTACTTACCACGATGATAAACAAATTTCTTACTTATCGACTTAATTTTTAATAATTTTTAATAGATATCTCGAATGAGACACACCACCAATTACCAATTAAATTTTTATCTCCTAAAAATTAAGCCTAAGTTTTATTTATAGGAATTTTCAACAATTAATCCAAGCTTTATTAACTCTATTCTCATCAAGTATCGACCGTCTAAGACATAGACTACCAGACAATAAATGCAAATATTCATATTTTTTAGCACAAAAACTCTCCTCTCAAAATAAAATTTGCTCTAAACAAAGGTTTTTCCTTCGATTTATCCCGTTCATTGTTCCATTGCACGTTTTATAGAACGAGATTTTCGAAGCTTTTCGGGCGTGCTCTCCCCCCTTCCCCCTTCTTCTCGCTCTTCCCGCCCCCCCCCCCGCCCCAAGAAAGTGCTCTAGCGGCATTGCAGTTAGTTTGCAGTAACTCAGAAGTCTAAGGACACACCGATATCGTATTCATCGTTGGTGT